TTTATGTTTTTGTGCCTCCTCTCCATGAACCAAATCTTTACCTACTGCAAACGGCATTACCCATATTTGCTACGAGAGTGAAGTAACGCCAATATACCTATAGTAATAAGAATCCAGATACCCACAGCAAGAAATGTTTCTACTATAAACTTACTGTTTACACGATTGGACAATCAACAAGGCATCAATATATTCACTAAACTTTAACAATACCTTCAATTAGTAAATAAAATAGCAGGTCCGCCAAAGCCTGTACAGGTTCATTCTGAGAACAGAGATATTATTCATGCTTTTACTGCCATCTACCCAGACATATAATTATTTATGTTTATGCGAGTGCCCGTGGTGGGCATGACCTCCGTGCATAAACTCGCTGATCTTCCTTTTCTTCTTCCCATCCTCGGTCTTTTCCTCGACATCGTCATTTTCATCGTCTTCATCTTCTTCCTCATCCTCATCCTCCTCATCAACAGCAGGCCATTCTTCCCACCCATCCTCCCAGATCCTCGCCATCACCTCCTGCTTCCCCCCCCTCTCCATCTTCCGGTCCCTCATCACCTTCTCCCACCTCTTCATCTCCTTAGTGCTCAACAGACACTCATTCAGCAGACCCGTTACCCCGTCTACATCCACCCCTTCCCCAATGAACACGATCTCCTGCCGCCGATCGCCCCACTCGCCCTGGAAATCCTCCTCGATGGATTTGCGCACGTCTCCGTCCTCGGGCCACGCCTCGTCCGGGACCTCGGCGAACCACGGTCCTCCGCAGTTCAACGTCAACATGGCGCCGGCCTGGCTCCATTCGCCGAACTGATAGGGTCGAGTGGCGAGCCAGAAGAAGCCCTTGGAACGCAGGAGGGGTTGGAGGAGGGGGTGCGCGCGTTTGTTGGCTAGAATCTCTTGGGGAGTGGGCTGGGTCGGGTCTTCCTCTTCCTCCTCCTCTTCCTCCGATTCGGAGTGCATTTCCGTGTCGGATACAGCGGTAGCGTCTTCTTCCCGGTCCCCCTCCTCCTCCTCTTCTTCTTCATCATCAGCACCAGCATCATCAGCTGCATTCTGTAGGATAATAAACTTGTCATGAAGCAGGTTGTATAATCTGCGAGGATGGAAAGGCCGTCGCGCAGTGTAGACGAAGTTGTTGATTCCATACCTGTTTTTCCCACGAGGGAGGACCAAAGATTGATCAGCAAATCATCCGATGATATTCTCTCTGAATTGAGACCCGGAACGGAACAAACCGCAGAACGGTGAGGTAGGTCACCAGGGGATCGTAAAACTCACTCCAAAGTCTCCGGCGTAGGCGCCCATCTCTCCTCCCCATTCCCCATCTTTAGTTTGCTCATCTCGTGCAAGCTGCGCAACCACCCGGCCCCGGACGCCGCCTTGAGGAAATCAAACCGGCCCGTGCCCAGGATCTCCTTGACGTCGACGCGGGAATAGCTCGTCTGCAGGACCTTCGCCGATGGGTTCAGCGTCGTCACGAGCTGCATGATCCGGTCGCGGTCGTGCGGCCGCGACGCCAGCATATCCATCTTGTTGATGAGGATCACGTCGGCGAATTCGATCTGGTCGACCATCAGGTCAGAGATGGTGCGTTCGTCCTCGGGGATGATCGTGTCCGCACCGTAGCGGTCGGACAGGAAGTCGGTGGTGTCAAGGTTCGAGAGGAGGTTGAAGGCATCGATGACTGTTACTGTCGTGTCGAGGGTGGAGAGTTGGTGGAGACCACCGAGGGTGTTTCTGTGGGCAAGTTTTAGTGGATGATTGCTCCGGGGGGGGGAAGACTTGGGTGGCAGTACATCTGATCCAAAATCTTCTTGCCTTCTTCGTCTAATACACCTCCCTCAGCTTCGGCTTGAACCATCGCGGTGCTGAACTCCGCTGTGAATGTCTCGGCAACTTGCATGGGCTCGCTAATGCCTGTGCTTTCGATCACGACGTACTCGACCTCTTTCTGGGTGGTCAGGCGCGCGAGCTCGGAGAGAAGATCACCCCGGAGTGTGCAGCAGATGCAGCCATTTTGGAGCTGGATCAGGGACTCTTTGGTGTGGGAGACGGTGTGGTGTTTGATGAGGGTGGCGTCGATGTTGAGGCTGGATGGATCTCTCGTTAGCAGAGCCCTGGATGAGCGTGCCAAGGGAGACTTACCTGCTCATGTCATTGACAATTACAGCAATGTGAAGGCCATGGTCAGGCGACTGGAGAATATGCTCGAGGAGAGTGGTCTTTCCACTGCCCTGTTCGTGAATCAGTACCTAGAGCTCGACGAAATTCTCATGCTGAATGCTGAATGACGAACCAGGAACCCAGAGAGGAGAGTCACAGGAAGTGGCTTCCTGCTCTCCTTATCCAGTGTGATGTTGATATCCTTGGTATCTGGCTTAGATGAGGCATCCGCCTTGATCTCACCCGCCTTGTAGGAGAGAGTCTCCCGTCCCGAGTCAATGACCATATTCGTTCGGCTGCGCCAAGGCTCGTTACTAGAGAAAGAATTGGCACGTCTCACCAGATTTCCATCAAATATCTCTACTGTACACTTCTATACTTATAGATGCAAGCTACCAAGGTGCTCTCATGATTGCAATTTATCATCATTGTTCTGATTGGTGACGGCCGCTCCCAAGGTCCTTGCTTGCAAGGTCCCGTTGCGTATACCTACAAGGTACTCGACACGCCAGAAATGAAATCAGTTATGCTTGATAGGTCACACTAACAATGAAACTATCGCTTGGTCGAGGTTGAGTTGATTTCATCCACACAATCCACTCCAATGCCCCCCGTAATGCCAGAGCAGATAATCTCCGCCGGGCTGCCCGCCGGACTCGTCAGCGAGACATCCTGCAGGGTGACATTCGTGCAGACAGCGGCAGGCGAGCACGTTAGATCGGCAACCACTAGACCTTCCTTTCCTGAGGAGGTACCCCAGATGTTCTGAAAAAGGATGTTCGTGATGTTGACAGAAGACGGGTACTGGGCGCACTCTGTGGCATTGATGTCGAAGTAGCACTGGTCCAGCACTACTGGGTTGTCGGTGTTCTGAATCTGGATGTTCTTGTAGGTAATGTTGTTGATGCGACCGTATCCCACATCTGGTCCAGCCCAGGCCTTGAGTCGAGCGCCGTTCTATGTTTGTTAGCCTCGATCAACAAGACAATTGTCTAGTTGCACCTACCTGGCCATTCAGCAGCGTCACGTTCTCAATCCAGGCGTTTTCAATGATGTCCAGTTCTCCTGGGTATTGTCCAATACTGCCCATACTCACACCGTGCGTGTTGTTGCACCACAGGTTTTGGACAAAGATGTTGGTGGTGTTGGGCTTGGGCGAGAAGCAATCATCGCCGATATCGACGCGGGTGTTGGTGACCGTCAGGCCATCGACGTTGTACGAATCAAATCCGTCGGTGTTTTTCGGGAGAGCCTATGCTGTTAGCCAGCTTTCGGGGCCTGACGCGCTTTGACATACCGAAGCGTTGGTCGAAAAAGCATGGATATACACATCATCAAAGGAGATGTCCTTGGTGTTGACGAAAAAGTTGGTCCAGCATGGCGAATTCAACTGTGTGATACCCTCCACAGATACACGTGTCGCGTTGTCGGTCAGGAACAGAATCGGCCGGTAGAAGGTGTTGGAGGAGTCCTGCCTTGTCAGCCCTGAACATTGAGCTTATGCGAGAGGTGAAAAAAACCCACCAAGATCTCGAGTCCAGCAAACGCATTGTACCAAGCCTGTCCGTTGCCGTTCAACGTGCCACTGCCGAAGATCTTGATATCGTTTCCACCCCAGCGCCAAAACGTGATTGACTTTTGGAAGTCATAGTAGTAGTTGTTTGCTTGCCAGTAGGTGATGTTGTTCGTGAACTACAATCATCTGGGTCAGTTATCTTGCCTCCTCAGGGTTGCCTCCGAGCATTGGACAACATACCTTTAGTTCACCCTCCAGCTGCACCTCAATATTGTCCAAGAATGTCAGATCCAACTTCTTTCCAATCACATACTTCTTGCCCTTCTCGAGCAGCAGCCGTCCGCCGTGGTTGGCCTGCTTGATTCCCCAAAGGAAATCACTCGAGATATCGTCGTAGTCGTTCTTGGATGGACGGATTGTCACAGTCTTGCGGTTCGGGTACTTGGAAGAATGCGCTCCCACACTTCTCAAGCCAGCTGCATCAGAGACTGGTATGATCTTGGCTCCATTGGGGGTTCCGCCCACGGCAGCGGCGTTCACGGCAACAGGCACGGCGCCCAGGAGAAGCGCAGCAATTGAAACGAGCTTCATGATTGACTTATCACTTGCAATTGCGCTTGTACTACTTAACCTTTTCTCGAGCGACCGTCCCAGTCTGGTTATTTATGCCTGTCCTTGACATCAGGATCTATATTGACCGCCTGCATCACCCCCTAGATTCCCCTCCGCTGGGGAAAGAATTCTGGGGAAATCTTTCCGGGGCATAGCTTGATTTCTCCACCTGTAGGAATTGCCCTGAAGAGCTACCTTGACTGATGTCATGGCTAGGCATCTTGGCTCTTTTTCTGACAGCTCCGTACCAAGATTTGGGAATGGACTGGTCCTGGGGTAATTTCCCCGGATCGTTGCTCGGACTTGGAGGATCTTCCACCAATGGATGGAACGGCTATTGACTGAGCCTGCAGGTCGGGATATGACTTTGTATCAATCTAATGGAAACGGTCCAGGTTAATATGCAGACTTGGCTCGTTGAAGTAGACTCATCAGCACGGGTTGATGATGCGGTGAGAGGCTAGTCGATTACGAGAAGGATATTAAGCCAAGGTGGACATTCAACAGAAGTATATTGACTCAGTGCCAACAAGTCCAACTCTTCCCCGCAAAAGCAATGTGGTGACGACTTATAGAAGGAGAAGTTACATCCGGGGTTAGTCCCCGATATCGCTCTCTTTCAAGTTTCCGCTAGAACAACGCGATGGATTTCCGAGCACAAAAAAAACCATGCACTCGATCAGTGACTAATTGTGAATTGAAGATGGTGGGTACCAGAAATCGGATAACACACACGCAAGACTCGACTGCCTTTACGAACCCATCAAACCAAAGGACTTCCCCTGAAAGATCGTCGCGACCCTCAAATTTCCCCAACCCCTCAACCTCGGCAACCCCCGCAGATCTGGCGTCCCCAATCTCCCCCACTTTCATCGGAAACATGAACCCGTACGATTTTTCTACTTCTGTTACTAGTATTCAGATGGCCAACACGGCCTGATTTTGAATCCATTCCACTCGCGAAGCTTTCCCAAAAGAGCTTGTTCAGCTCAAGAAGAGGAAGAAAAATCACAGCCTCTTCCCGGCCAACATCAACGCCGTGAGGCAACTCACGTTGCCCAACCACCACAGCAGCGACGGCACAAAGTTCAGTGGTTCCGATTCAATCGCCACGGCCGCGGTTGCATATGCCACCCGCATCACCGAGAACCACAACCCAACCCAGTTGATTATCTCGGTCGGGACACCTGCGTGAAGGGCGAGAAGGACTGTTCAGCCCACCCCCTCGGGAAGAAGGGGGTTCCAAAAATTAGCATTTCTTGCTTCCTGGAGGATGGTTGATAGAGACAAACGGCGTACCCCCGGCGATAAATAGCGGAAACCCCTCGATGACGTTCTCGTAGGCAGCTTCCCGCCGTTTGAGTCGGTTCAGTTGGCCTCGGGTGATCTTGCCGGCTTGCACGGCTGCTTCGCCGTATTTGAGCAGATTCTCGCGTGGAGCATTATTGTGGTCTTGCCCGAGTCGTCGTATGGATGCTCGGGGGTTGAGTATTCCGTGGGCGAGGAACCAGTTGCCAATGATATAACCTGCTGCGTGGTTGGGGATGGGTGAGGAGGGAGTCGCGCGGAGGCCGAGCGTGGTCAGGAGGGATCTGCGAGGTCGTGAGTACAGTACAGAGATAACAGCATTTGCAATAAGTCTTGAGATACGGCTCACGCAGTGGCTGGATGGTCGGACATCTTGTGTCTTGCCGCTATGCCGATTGTGTTATTGGGGAAGAATCAAAGAATCAAGGGGTTCTAGTTGCTGAGCTGATTGTATATATGGGGATGACATCCCGCTAGGTGCTGAGGCTGAGCCTATGATCTACATGGGCTGTACAACTGCATGACATCTTGGCTGAAGGCTTTGCACCAGAGAATTGGGGTGTGTGAACTGTACTTGTATGCAACCAACAGGTGGCGTGAAGTGACGCGGCTCTATTGGCCTCGATCTTGGCCTCCAAGTTTCTTCTGAATTGCTGGAGACCGGCTTCGGCTCTGACATATACCCAACATTAACGAAACAAGGACAGGAACCAGGCATCAAAGGTTAGTTAGGTCCTTGTATTGCTGACTACAGCTTGTGACTTGCTAACTAACTACAGTGTTTCTATGCTGAGGTCCCATGACGTCATTACTGGCTCAGATGATTGCTGACTGCATTCAGGCAACAAGGGTTGAAAAGATCATTGCGAAGGACTTTTGACGCTTTGTTGCCACTTCTCTTCTACAAACAAAATGACGACCTCTTGGTATGAGTCGATAAAAGCGCCAGGCAGTACACAGTACAGTAGTACTCACAGTCATCATCGATCACCACTTGGCTTATCCCGGGCAAGCGCGCTTATCAGATCCACCTTTGATATCTCCTGTCAAACGTCGGACAAGATGCTATCTTAGCTTGTGGAACTACCATGCCCATGTATGTACATAGCATATTTGTAAGTAGGTTAAGAAGGTTTGCCTTTTGAGTACTTTTACTTTGAGAGAATGCACTTTACCCAGAGCCGCCACCCAACCCTTTACCAACAAGGCCATGAAGAGCAGCCCGCATCATCCGTAAGCTTGCGATATTCCGGTTTCCGGGGTCGACCGACCGCCACCTCGGCACATCTAGCCATAACGTTTTTATGTATGGCTACCATGGGCCAGATCCCCACGTTCACAGACAATCTGTAGAAAGAACTTGAAAGGGTCCCAGCGAGAACCGCGTCCCCATGAACCCCCCGTTTTCATGCCAGTCGGGTCAATGTAGAATCCGACCAGCGTCTAAAGTCCGAGACAAGGCTGCGATTATTAATAATGAAGCGGAGCATCGCGGATCCTCAGCCGCACTCACCACCAGCCAGCCTGCATTGCGGCCAGACCGATAAAATATTAACTGAACTCCAGCGGTTGTGCTGTGCTGTGTTGTGTTGTGTTGCGTTGCGCTGCCACGGCGATGCGATGCGATGCGATGTAATGTGCACTAGTCTAATAATCTTATACACCGTGTTCCTTCTTTTTCTTGATGTTGTTGGCATTTAGATTATCTCTTCAGCAAAAAAGATCCTTGTTAAATTACCTTGTGAACATAGCTTTGCTAACAGAGATCCCGGACCCCCTCCCCCCCTTTGTATAGTCAAGATGTTCACATTACCATTGCTGGTGGCGACCCTGTTCCTGCAGGTCAAATTCTCCGTGATCCCCGGTTTAAAGCCCGCACTCTACGGGGCTCTGGTTCTGAGTGCGCTGCATGCCATCTTTGTCCCCCTCAAGAGCCACGGAGACTTTGTGATATACACCAATGCCTTCATGAGCGTGTCGTTCATCATCCGCGCCGTGGAGCTGCTGATCCTGCAGGATCTCGATGAACTCGAACATCTGGAAAAGGTCTCGCATGTGTCCTCGTCCATCCTGTACTCCTGGGAGCCCCTGCCGCGAGCCCTGGGCTTCCGCCGGTTCCTGCGCGTCTGCGATCTGATCGCCAACCCGCGCGCCATCGGCTGGAATCACGGCTCCACCAAGTATCTACCGCCGCTGCGGCCCGTGGAAGGCGAGGCGGGCGGCGATCACTGTGTGCCGGAGCACAGGAACATGGTCGTCGTGGCGGTGGGAGACCGCAGCAGTTTTCTCCGCGCCCATCTCTGGACCGTCCTCCTCGCGTACCTGGCTATGGACACCTACCAGGCCGCGTTCGCGCGCAATTACCCGCGGCTGTGCGACAGCGTCGACGGCTTCCTGAACGGGGTACTGGGCTGGCATGTCTCCCCCGCGACCAGCGAGGTGGTCGTGCGGAGGTACCTGCTGTCCCCCGGCTGTTGGATCGCCGCTTATGCCTTCGTCGATGGGATTCATTCCGCCGTCGGGGTCTTTTCCGTGGGCTTGGTCAGGGTCTTCACCTCCAAGCATGCGGGAGAGCCTTGGATGTATCCACCAGTTTTTGGATCCGTCCGGCATTTGCTCGCGTTCAATTTGCGTGGTATGATCACACTTCTTCTTCACCCTGAGATTGATATTTTGGCTGACTAGAGATCTATTTGTTGTCTTCGATCAAGATATCTGGGGCAAGATGTGGCATGACCTCTGTCGCAATCCCTTCTTGGCGCTTTCCCGCGCGGCCATCATGCCTGTGAAATCGATCCCAATGGGCCTGCAGCGCTTCCTGGTGATCTCGTTGACGTTCTTTGTGTCCGGTGTCGTGCATGTGGCCGGAACGTACGCAGTTTCTCAGGACGTCTTCGCAGTCAGTATGATGATGACCTTCTTTTGCATCTTGCCGCTCTGCATCGCCGCGCAACATCTCCTCTCTGATCGCTTTCTTCCGCTGTTTCTCCCTCAAAATGTGTTCTCTCGGTTGGCGATCTGGCTGGTTAATATGGCCTTTGTCATGGGATGGGCCCACATCACCAGCCCATGGTTTCTCGATCATAGCAAGCTGCCCGAGGCTATCGGATCGGTGCCGCTTCCGGTCAGTGTGTGGAAGCTTGCAGCTGATGTTTAGGATCCTTCTATCTCATCAAGTCACACAGGATATGATTTTTGCAGTTGACTTACACGCGCAACGGACGCTCCTCGATATTTGAGAATTGATATTAGAATCAATAAAGATATTGTATCACCACTATGGACTTTTGTATCTAGCCTCCGTGCCTATGATTTTCATTGTTGTTACCAAAATCGTTCAATATGGCATTCCCACATAGAACCCGTACACTTCACCTACTGCAGGACACGCTCTGAAGCAGTCTTGTTAGACGGAAAAGCTTGTCGTGAAAGATTGTAGGGGAGATACTTTCGTACAAAGGGTCCATATGGTATCGATCGTACCAAAAAGAAATACTGGGTCCACTGGATCCCTTCCAACACTCGTCTCCTCTATTCGCCATCGGTGGCCAGTTTACAGTTCGCCGTGTTGATACATTTCCCACCCATCGCACTCGACCTCGAGTTCAAAATTGACGTCATTGACAATAGTATCCAAAGTTGCGCAACCGACTCTATACTGCTCTCGAAACCAATCATCATCCTCCAGATCGTTGAAGGTGTACGCGCCAGGGATACCGAGCAAGCCGCTCGCAGGAGGGAATTTGGGCCTCAGAGAAACAAGTTCTAGACGTGAAAAGTCATTTTTGCAATACTCGGCCAATCCAGCCATCATGTCATAGACTGGATAATCGCAAGCGAGAACTGTGACAGTCTCGATATTGGGTGGCAAATTGCCGAAATCATGTAGTATGCCTTGCTCCACCTCCAAGTGCTTGAGGTTCTCGAATGCCCGGAAACTTCCGTACTGGGGGCAACGATGCCATTTCTCAATGGCTATGGGGTTGGCCACATCCAGGTCGACGCGCAGCGACTTGAGATTCTGCCGTTGAGGCTCCAGACAGGGAAGTAGCGCCGGGGCTGGGAACTGACAGCTCACCCTCCTTCGGGCATCCCAAGGCACCGTTGTTTCGTATGCGAGGACCTCGAGATTTTCACACGCCCGCATGATATTTGTCAGTCGTGTTGCATCCAGTGAAGCTCTTATGAGGTGTAACTCGGAAAATTTGAAAGAACCGGTTGGAAGCTCAAAGATTGGACACCCAGAGCCGTTGCCCTCGCAAAACGCCAAGGAGAATTCCTTCAAGCTAGGCAAGCACATTAAGTCGACCACTTCCGACATAGTCGGATGTCGCATTTTTAACTTATCTTTTATGTGAAGAGACTTCAACCTAGACAGATATGCAGGTCTACCATCAGGCCCTGGGAGATAAAGTGGCCTCAAGCCTCTCAGACCTTCGCGGCCGCTCACAAGATCTAAGTTCTCAAGATTCGGAGCGAGGGCAGCAATGACCACAATCAGCGGATTCATTCTTGCACCGTTTATGGCAGTCACATATTCGAGCTGGCAGGGAATCCGCTTCTGGTGGATGACGCTGTTCAGCACTGCGATGGTTTCGTTCCTAACCGCTGCTGACCATTCCCCGACCGAGTCTGAAGGGTCGTGATTCGCATTGATGCAGAGACGAAATACTTGTCCACCCAGGTCAGGTCGCAACGCAAGGGTTCTAGCGAAAGCGAGAAGAGGACGGATGCGGCTCGCTCGCTTCACATATATCCCGTTGTTATGATCGAAGACATACTTGTAGAACACGTTATAAAGGAAAGGTTGTGTGATCATCCACAGTCGTTTCGATGTTAAACAGAGACTCAGTAACGTTCTCACATCACGGGGACCACGGAGGCAAGAAATGATATCCAACAGAGTCTCAGTGGGCAGCGTTTCGAGTTGAGCCATGGTCATGGTCATAAGTTACTCGATGACGAGACCTTAGTCAATGAGATTTGACCGTGCTGAAGGATATAGTCAGAATCTACCAGGTCCATCGCATAGATGCAAGCACCTCGAGCAGACGCGTGCCTCTTGTGAGTGAACTTGTTAATCTCAGTTACGGACACCGGCTTTACGCCATATGAGAGTCCTCTGAAAATACTCACCTCTCAGTACAAGATAGACACTCCCGATTTCATTCTTTGATGAGGAGATATGCGCCTAAGCGGCTTTAAAGGTGGAGGGATAAAATATGTGACTCAGCTATTGAGAGTTGCCTAGAAGGATGTTCATGGATAGATGCAATGCGGTGCGACTCATGCAAGTTGAGCCTTCTTATCGTCGTTGCTCATCTCGGGGGCGCCGCCGCCTCACAACTCCTTCCAGATTGGGAGGAGAATAAATAACACATCGTGACGTCACCTGCAAACCGACCAAACAGCCCGCGGTCCGCTCGTCTTCTTCCAATCAGCAACATCTTTTCCTGACTTCAACAAACACAATCAACGCCAACCTTTGAAAGGCAAACAATTGTCAGGCTTGGGTCAGTCTAACAGGGGACCAGTCATGTTTGAAACCCCACCTACTAATGCAACTTATGCTTGACAATTTCCCCAAAGACGTAAGATGTTTTACAATGCTCTGATCCGCACCCATCACATCACCTCGCGCAAGAAGGTCTCCGCCCTCAAACGGGCAGCCGACATGCACAATTGCTTCGTGCTGCTGCGCTCCGGAGGTTGTCCGGGGATTATGTATGTGGAAGCGAGAGACAAAGACGCCGTCGAGTCGTGGGTGAATGTCGTGCGGAATTTGAGGTATAAGGATTTTCAGCTGGTAACTCGACCGGGGCTGTTGGAGGTTGAGTATGAACAAAACAGCGCTAGAGAGCGGACCGACCCCCCCAAGCAGAGGCCCGGCGTCTCTGAAGTTGACTCAGTCAAGGAATTTGGGGGCCTGATGGAGCAGCGGGGGGTTTGGAAGTGGTGGAGAAAGGGAATGGGCTATTTGAGTTGATGGTTTGCGTGGCGATCTTTCGAGCGTTGGAAATTCGGTGTTGGGAAAGTTCGTTTGCCATCACATTACATCACTTATCTCAATCGGATCAGCTGGTGCGCAATAATCAAAGAAGCAATCAGAATCCTCGCTGCGACTCGCCTCTGTCGATGCGCAAGACCGCGCGGAGTCAATGCTACTGAGGTTTAACTGTCGCACCCGGGCTTCTTTGAGGGGCCACTTTTTTCAAACGCCACTGCAATACACACCAACACGAGGGATAACTACAGATCACAACAGTCTGGTCTTGTTTTGTCAAAATTCGTTCATTCGTCCATTGTCTCCCCCCTTTCCAAATCGTCAATATCTCCACTCAATAATCTCAAGAGGGAGAGGTCAAATCTTTCGCAATTGTTCGTACTTGCTCCCATATCACTCCGGCTCATCCGGCCACATGACAGGGTTATCCCCCGGCAAGCTGTCAAGAGGTCCACTCTGTCCCAGTTCATCCTTCGGCTCCTCAACATCCAAAGGCTGCGACAGGGGCGTCAAGGCCCTCTTTTGGGTTCTTGTTACCGAGCAATCAGGATCGTCTAATCCCTTGGGCCCCGTACAGGTGTCCATAGCTTGTTGCAGGGCAGCTTGGTCGGTCCAGCCGTGAATGAAATCACCGTGCAATCCATACCCAGTTGTGTCACCCATGGAGTACACCAGGCTCTGGCAACTCCCTATTGGACCCGTGTTGAAGAAGAATTCCATGAAGATTGAGTATATCGCCACTGGGTGAGATTCAGGACAGACACCTTTATTATAATCCCCGACCGCGGGATATGCCATCTGGAAGTGTACAGTACATTAGCCGGAATTATGAACAATGTTATGTCGTTTCCACATACATGGCTTTTGTGATCCGCACTATCGAGGTTCTTACCATCCCAACAGGAAGGCATAAAGACCTGCGACCGCACGATCTGGCAAGGTTGTCGTGGGAAGTGTTTTGTTTCGTTGGAGCTACCGTCATACTCTATGCACATGTGCGATATGGCTTTCTGAGCTAAATCAGAGTCATTGTATGATCTGTCCTTCTCCATTAGTCACGAGGTCTCAATCAAGGCCGTGCTGTTGTTCGAACCGTAGATCAGGATCCCCAGCTACCATCCTCAGCCCTTCTGGTGGTGCCAATGGATACTCCGACGCATCGCAGCTCGTTAGATTAACTCCATACTCACACGCTCGGTTGAGGTAGTATATAGCCTGATTGGCTGGGTCAGTTCGCCGTGGCCTAAAGGAACTACTGAAGGGGCATCATACACTCGACTGATACTCCACGAGCTGGAAAGAGCCATTCTGTAATTGATTGTACAACTGTGGGATCCAGTAATTGCTCTTATCAATCGCTACGCCGCAAGTCGTCTCTTGGGCGTTGCGGGCGGTGTTGACGCCCATTGTCCTCTGGAATGCTGTACCTCCGGCAATCACGTGGACATGTTCCGATATTCCACCTGGGGAAACTATCGGATCGGAGAGTTGTGTGGTCAACGGGACACAGCTGAAAGTGAATTCATCGGTCGTGTGCTCTGTGCTGGTCGCGAGACAGGAAAATGCCAGGATTGATACGAGGGGGGTGAGGACATGGACATGGGGCAATCTGGCCTTCATGGTGTTATCGACATCAAGTCAAGAGGGCTAAGCTCGGCGCTGGGAACAAATGACCTTGTGGTGTGAGGGAAAAGTTTCCTTGCTGTGTCTCAACATGTGTAACTGCATATGGTTGGGGTTGTCGCGGACATAATATTGTTTCGTGTGCGGAAAAGGCATCCCCATGCCGGCTTGCTTCGGGTTGATCCCATCACGACTAGGCTTGTAAGCGCTAATGATTATGTCCTGAATGAAGGAATGTGTCAGAGCAAGGAACAGAGTTAGGCCTCGAGTATAGCATTCATGTAACCTCAGTTACCCATACCATGCCGCTCATACCTCGAGGAATCTCAGCGACGTGCGATGCTTGATAACGCATGCTTGCGGTCTTGGGATACATTCCTAGCCCCTTATTTTGTCTGTCATTTTGATTTTGACATAGCTTTGCACCGGCACAAGGAGGTGTAAGGAAGTGTGGACCTTGATCTTTCATTACTGGAGACGATATATGCTTTGCAGCCAAAAGTCAATAATGATTGATCATCCACGAATTAAACTATTATCGGGTTTGAGCGAATGCGGGTAAACACGTCCCTCTATCCAATGCATTCCCGAGCCCGTGGCTTTATTCGTCCAGTTTTCACTCCCTCCTGATTGCGGTGGATGCACACTCGCAACCATCCATCCCACCATCCCACCAAATACAGACAGCAATCATTTATGCGGAATCAAGGCATCAGCGTTTCTTGAAGGATCCGGGCGACTGGCTGGATGATGATTTAGGGGCCAAGTAGATAGGTATTAGGCAGGTATGCCCTGATTTTCGTCCTGCATACACTTTGAAGGTATGATCATGCCATGGCCATTCTGCACCGCGCCACTGGTCCCCGTCAGATCAGGCACATGGATCGGATCCAGTCGGTTATGGTCGGCGTAGGTAGACTCCTCTATGACCCAGAGATAAGGTAGGCAATAAGAGGACTGGCTAAAATGGGTGCCTGGCGCCTTGCAAAGTTGGCCCAATGAGCTAGCAAAGTAGTGGGTTGAAAACCCCACTGTGCTTGTTCCCCGATCACTTTACACATGTCGTGGTTGACCTATCTAGCCATTGTGGAGAGTGGGAAACCGGGATGAGAAGAGAAGCTATCCGTGGTGGGGATGAATTGTGGAGAAGGGCACTACCAACTTTCGGTCACCATTGTTATTCAGACTTGCAGGTCAACCCAGGAATATATGTACAATGTGTCATTCTGCAGCAGCTGCGCACCGGCGAGATGCCCGGGCCGATCAACGAACCTGCTCAAGTCGGGTCTGAATAGTCTTTTCATCGAAAGGCCCGTCTTCGCCGACATAATTGCGAAGTGCTTCCGAGAACATCAAGCGCCGGGGCGCCTTGCGTCCCGTCATCAGCTCAATTTGCGAGATTGCTTGTTCGACTACATTATCAAGCCCATCTACCAAAACCCACGGCCGGCCCGTCTCGCTTCTGATGCTACGCATTTGACGTAGCAGTGGCGTGTCCAATGGTTTGTAAGCGAACTAGGTTCAATAGATTAGCGACGCCCAACTACTTCAGATTCCTCCAAGAAACCTACCTCAAGAACCACGCCTCCGGTCGGGCTACCCAACCACTGCATCGGCATTTCGAAATTGGCGGGCGGTTCGTCTCGGTCAGGGTCTGCTGGTACGCAGGATGCAATCATACATGGAGGGCAAGCATCGGCCGGCCATTCATCTTTGAGTGATTTCAGCACGTATACTACTTCTGTTGCGTCCACCTGAGACGCTGCCCAAGAATTGAAATGTCGAGCCACACTCTCAGCCCGTGCCAATGTCCGATTGTATATAAAGATTTTTCGGCATCCCAGGCGAAGCATGGCATAGACCGCCGCGCGAGCCATGCCACCCGCTCCAATCACCAGCCCCGTTGTTTTCAAGGGACTGATTGCATTGCGTGGGGAGAGATTGCGGTTGATACAAGTCATAATACCTACCCAGTCAGTATTCTCTCCGTACCACCCCACCACAGGCCCGGCCTGGTTACGTCGACTCGCTTGCTCTTGCAGGGAATACATGGCGCCATCGGCGCTGGCCCGTAATGGCATGATCGTGTTGATGGCGCCAATTGCCTCGACATGGCGGCTCTTCGCCACGAGCTTGTGAGATAACTGTACTCGCCAGGGCTGAACCACACTCGCCCCTCCGAAATGCGGATCGCGGCCCAGCCGATCCAGAATCGCAAGGGAGGGAGAATCGGGTATCGTATAAGTGTGGTTCATACCACATTGTCTAAATGCAGCATTGTGCATTGCGGGAGAAAGACTATAGGCTACATTGCCACCCAGAATGCAAAATTTGAGGGGGTCAAGAACATAGCTCTGGAATAGTGCTTGAACAGCATCCCGTGAAGTGATCTGAGGGTCGCGTCCATTATCTGAGGAGCGCTCGATTGCGGGATGCGTGACGGGGGTAAGAATGGAGTTGAACACTTGGGAGGTCCGTCCTAAACTGCCCACGTTGTAGGCAATGACCGGTGGATGTTCTCCAGGTAAAGCCTGAACCTTGTTTGTGAACTTCACAACGGCCGCATTCTCCTCCCGCGCCGTAATGACGCGAAGAAACCGGACCAGCTGACAGCCTAGCTTTTCGGCTTCAAGGTAGAGATCAAAACATGCTTGGCTTTCCCAGCTTTCGGGAGCCGACGGCTCAAATATGCGTTGGCCTATGATCTTGGTCCTTCCCCTAGTGCGAATCGCTTCGCTAATTTGAGACCGGTCCTGGTTAAGGTCGAGCGCCAAGTACTCGACCCCCAACCGCAGGCCATGCTCCACGATGGCAAAATACGCATTGCTGACTTGTGATGCAGAGTTGCCTTGAGCAATGCCTGTCGAAGTGGTGTCGATGGATATTATGATTGGAGTGCGAGCGCTCCTTCGAAGCAAAGAAACATGCTTGCTCATGGTTGCTGCCATATCCACATCCCAGCGGTCAACGCAAAGCTCAATGGCATCCCCGCCCGATTCCAACTCAGGTATCTTCACCGTGCCCTCTAGAAGGTCGGAAGAGCGGACAAATATGGCATGCGTATAGGACCGTAGTTCTGGCGGCGTCTCAAGAAGAACAAAAGGCGAGTCATAGCTGGTGTGGCCCACATCGGTGCCTGTTACGAACCGGACAAAACGCGTGAAGTCTTCCTTGGCTTCTTTCAATTTGAAAGAATAATCGACGCAACGCCGATCGGGGGTCCCTTCGTCCGTTTGGGCAGCTAAGCTGGAGCGGTCTTCGATATTGTAGAATTCGAAGTTGGAGCACGTTCGATGCAGAGGATCACCCTCACCGATGAGTTTGACTGCTTGATCCTCCAAGCCTAAAAGACTCTGTATGCGATCCATATCACGGATTATGTACACGATTGGATTGGTGGCCGAGTACTGCCGGAGATGCTCTTGCACGGGACGAGTCAAACTTCCCAGCCCACACTCAATCACGCACCGAGAGCGGTGATTGTCTAGCATGGACTTGAGGACTTCGATATCGCGCTTCTGAAACTCTTGGCTCCCATAGCGCTTGAGATAATCATGTCTCGAG